TCTAAAAGCGTCGCAATAACATCTGGTGTGTTATCATTTAGTAAATTTAATAAAATTGGTATTAATTCTTCATCAGGAGGTATCGGTGATTTTTTCAAATCCTGGATTCCTGGTTTTTCAGGAGTACTCTGTGCTTTTTTCCGTGCTATTGATTGTGCCAAATTAATGATACCATCAATCCGCATTGCACTGTCTTCATGTTTTAATTGTTGTAATAGTAAATACTTTGTCTGGGAAACTTTTACAGGTGTATGAGATTTACTATAGAGATATTATTAGATTTAGATAGAGCAGAAGGCATTCGTGACTGAGAATAAGTAGAACTTGAACTTGCCGAAGCTTTTGCTATACTTGATGCTGGTGATTTTGCTCTAAGATATGTGGTACTTGGTTGTCACATTATATATTTTTCTGTTTCAGAAGGATCAATAGATTGAGAATTGGAGAAATCACCAAGCAAATATCCTGATTTTTTATTTTAAAAAGATAGTGAATCTCTGCTTCTGCTTCATGAAGTTGAAGATGTATGAGATCTTTAATTTCCAGTTATATTTTTTGATTTATCTCATTCTATTTGTTTTTTTATAGCTGGCATAATAGAATTTAATAATCTGAAAAATCACATATATTTATAATTTAAATAAAAAAAGAAATAAAAGATCTTTTTGCTTTATAATATACTTATGCTTTACCTAATTCTGGCTAAATCTCATAAAACTTCCAAAACACAGCATGACTTCCTTCTTGCACTTTAGGATTCACATCGGTCAACCTCTTCTTTAAATAATTCTATAGTAACTGTGTACCATTATTTCTTTGAATGATATCTCTTCATGCAAGTCCATTTATGTGCTCCCCAATTCATTTTGGTTAAATTTATTTTTATGATCTGCATTATCTTATTTAGCATGTTTAGCATGTATTCACTGTATTACTTGATATACATATGCATAATAATAATCCTTGTAAATTTTTAAATTCTTTACATTACATAATATAACTTTTATTATAGCTGATATATTATTTTATATACTATTACTATAGTGATAGTACATAATGATTTTGGACTTTATTTACTATTATCTTGGATGATAATTTTCTTCTTGTAAGTTTTACAGTTTTATTTCATTATCATTATTATTCTATTTTCATAAATTTCTCCCTTTAAAATTAGACTTTAAGTTTTCTAGGTTATCTGTTATATATTAGATCTTATTAGTGAGTTTTTAATAATCATTCTTACATCTGAATCCACTTTGTTAATATTTTTATTAGCATTTTATATTTCTTGTAGTTTCTTTCAGTTTAATCTCTGGCCAGATAAGTGATTTATTTCTTTTTGTGAGTGCTTATTATAATTATTATCTAACTATCACATATTTTATATATTTGATATTTGATTTTATATTCTATTCATAATACTTTAAGTTGGTTATATTTATTATTATCAAACAATTTTAATTATGAATAATTTAGTTATAAAAATATATTTTTATTGTATATATATATAAAGGAAAACTTTATTTAAAATGATTATTATAAGAAACTATAAGAGAAATTAAGAACAAAATAAAAAAACAAAATATATAATTGTGATTAATATTTTTATTTTTTAATATGATAATAATTTCTATTCATTTCAGAATCAGGAATAATACATTCATTACATAAAGAAATAATTAATTTTCTTTTCATTCTTGCATTTACAATTGCTTCTAAATTGGTATCAATCATTTGATTTTGATCTATTTGATCATATCAATCTCATATTTTTCAAATAGCTTCAATTCAATTTTCAAAAATAATATCAAAAATCTCTTTAGGCTTATTCATCTTTTGAGCAAAAGCAATATATGAAATCAATACTAGATAGAACTTTTAGCATATTGTAAAAATATGCTTGCATATAATTTTACAAAATTTAAAGTCTAAACAAGTATATTAAAAATAAATTAATTTAATATTATCACTTTTTTATATATATTCTTTTATATTAACTTTATGACTATTAATTAATAATTTTACAAGATAATATTGACTGCTAGATATAGTAAAGATATTTGTATCCAAGTCAGAACTAGCAAGTTCTCAATATCATTGCTCTCTTTATCATGATTTTATCCTTCTAATCATTAAACAAATAGCTTTATACTTGAATTCTGCATCCTTTAAAACAGCTTGTAAGGTCCAAATCAGAGTATCAATTTGATGATTATGTTTAACTTTTAGATATATATATTTAAACTTTTTATGTCAAGATTCAATAAAATTTATTATATTCATTTTTTGATACTCATATAATTAATAAATATCAATATATTTCTCACAATTTTCTTGATATTCTCTTTTTAATGTATTTAATCCATTCTGCTTCATCAAAAGCTATTCACTAAGTAAAATACTCAACAAATTTATTTTATACTTGAGAAATATCCCAAATTCATATTATAATATCAAGTTTATCCAGTGTCATTTTTTATGCTATTTGTTTTTTTAATTATTTAAGAATATTATTATCAAGATTTTCTTTTTGAGTTTTGAAATAATTACTATTTGCTTTAATTTTATTCTTGTTTTTTTGCCAGGTATTTTTTATATACCATTGACAAAACAAGATTCTGATATTAAGAAATACTGCATTAATAATATTTTGTTATGCATCATCACAATCAGTAAGAAAAATATAAGATTTCTATTCTTGATTTTGATTTTTTATAGCTTCAAGTCAAAAAATTAATATTTCTTCTGCTTTTTTCTCTAATATTAAATATGTTATAGACATATCTTGTCCACCCTCATCATCTTGTACTAATAAAGTAAAGAGATTTATTTTATATGATAATATTCTATATATTCCATCTAGATATACTGTTTGTATACTTTTTGATTTTAATATCTTTTTTTGAAACTTGATCTGAAATCTATACATATTGTAACCAATCACCTATTCATGTGGCACAGTAAATGTGGTGCAGTATATGGCATAGCATATGATACAGCATATAACACAACTGCAACATATAGCGTAATAATCACTGATCACTACTAAATCAGATGAATAAGTAATTTATATTAATTAATTTTATTTATAATTAACTCTATTTTTAATTTATATTATTACCTATATTTAGCTTTATTATTTTATTAAATTAGTCATGT